CGGCGCGCGCGACCGGTACGCACGTGCGGGCGCCTGGCCGCGACCGTTACGCTGTGTGTACGCACAGCTCGGCGCTGGGATCATTGCGTTTGCCGCGCGCGCCAGTCGTCGTCGGCGGCGGCGATGGTGAGAAGCGGTAAGCACCATGCAACTGAACGAAGCACAGCCACGCACACGAGACACCGCCGCCGCGCACGAGAACTTTCGCGCGCGATCGACACGATCTCAATTTTTTTTTGTCGTCGTGTGTCGATGTCGTTATTATAATTAATAATTAATACGATAATAATAATAGAAGTAATTACCTGTTATTATTATTAATCGGCGCCCACGTCAATCGCCTTCCCCCTATCTGTCGCTCAAGTTCACCGGCGATATTTCGGTGCGGAGGAGCCGGGTGTGTGTATGTACGTCGGCGGTTGTGGCGACTCCGACCAACCGGCACCGTCAAACGGTATATAAAATAGATTTATCATAATATTATTGTCGTCGAGATTTTCTCTTGTCCGGCCGGTCGCAATAACACAACCGGTCTCAAACATGTGAGACGCGACATCGCGGCAGGTACACACGTGCGCCCGTGCGCGCGTGGTTCTTCCGGTCTGCGCCCCCCCCCCCCCGCACGACGTCCATCACTCGTTAGAACGTTGCAATAAGTACGACGATAATATTATCATCATTACGTTTCACGTGCGATAACTATATATTTTGCAACAATAACAATAACAATAACAATATAGTGTTCGCGGTCTGCGCGCATTAGCGGTGTTATTGTTTTATTTTTTCGCCATACTTCGACGGCGGTAAAATTAAAGAAAAATAAAAAAGTCTTCATAGTCGTCTCCACATAGTAGTTCACGTATTGCCGTCATGCGGTGGCGGCCGTCCAACCACGTCCACCGACATCCACGCGCCGGTCGTGGCGCCGCCGCCGGCGTTACCGGCGTCCGTCGTTGCGCCGGCCACAACCACGGCGGTCGTTGTCCGTCCGTTGCTGCAGCAATCTCACCACCACGTGTCGCCCACCGATTGCAGTCGTTCCGCGCCTATTAGACATTCACAAGTAGGAATCTTATTTTCTATAGCATTTTTTATTTTTTTTAAATTTTTTTTTGTTTAAATGATAAAAAAACGAAAATATATCAATTTTTAAGCGTGACTAACAAAAAAATAAAAATAAAGTAAAATTGTCAATATAGAAATAAATTTTAAAAACTTGAAGCAATATCAAGTTTTATTTTAGAAAATATTGGAGTCGAAATTGAATATTTGTGGAAATATTCTATGAATCGTCTGTGTTTTGCCACATAATTTATGTTTGCGTAAGGTTAAATATGAGATATCACATAGAATTCTTTTTTTTTTTTTAATGATAATTTATGTCATATTATACATTTTTAATCATATAATAGGCATTTTATAAATTAATTTAGTAGGTAACACCAATATGTCGTATTTGTTATTTTTTATTAATTATGCGATAGATATAATATCAGATAAGTAACTGAACATCATAAAAATATTATCAAATTTTAGCTTATTTATCTGGAACTCGAATACCTTAAAATAGTAAATTTGGTATAAGTGGTTTTTTCACGATTGTGAAGTTTGAAAAATTTGAGGTGGCTAACAAATTAACAATCTTATGCAGATACGTCTTAGTACGTTTTTTTCTGTTGCAAGGGGCTACTAATATCGGCTACCTTGCACAGTTACAACTTGACGGCGTCGTAGAACTTGTGACACGTTTTTTAATACTTTAAATGCACGTATAAAGTGAACTCGTATCAGTTGCATCCCTATTACAGTATTGTTATCTTCAATGATATAAATTTTATATGTACTAAAAATATGAAAAATTATTTGGCACTAGATTCGTAGAGAATATTATAATATATATATACCATAAATAAGTGGCTGTTTTTATAGCTACTTTATATTTAAAAGTTATAATGTATTGTAATATATGTAGGTGCATTACCAATTTACCATAGAATGCAAGATGAATGAATAATAAATCGATTTATCATAAATAGGTGTTAATAATATTAGCAAAAAAATTACTCCAGCATTTTTTTCAAATTTAAATAACATTGCATTTTTGTTAAAATTGTAATGATAAAAAATCAGTTTTTAGTTCTAATATATATATATTGATAAATGATTTATACTTTTCATAATTTTATAGTTAAGTCAATATTTAAACATTTAAAGTCGGTTAAATGATAATATTATGTAATATACATATATCACTTATTTAAATTATGTTTTAAATATAAGTATGTTTGATATGAAAACTGTAACTTAAAATAAGTGTGTAGAATATTATGTTATTCTTTTATATGATATATTATATATTATATAAAATAATAAAATAATTATTATTTAAAAACTACGGCTAAAATGTGCAATGCACTATAAATTATAAATAAAACATGTGTAAATAACAATATAATTTTATAGGTATGCATTATCTTTATGCATGATTATCACCTAGGTCAATGTGTGCTTTCTTATTATTTATATAGTAAAAAAATAAGAAGTATGTTATATTAGAGCCTTCATATTTTTTAATCACTAATAAATTTGATATGAATAAAATTATAGAACATTTTAATCGAACAGTTTTTTAATATTTGGTATCTATTATAATTTGTTATATCAATTCAAATTTTATTGTTATTAAGTTATAATATAACTATAATACATATTATGTATTTTTATGAATATAGGTATACTATACAATTGGAAATTGAAATTCATTTCCATCAATAACGATTATTTCTATTATATATGATTATTTGATTCTACATAAAATCTATATATAAATAATAAATATACTAAAATAATTATAAGTTATAGTTGAATAATGAAAAAAAACGATTAAAAAGGTGGGTAGGTTACTGACATAGATTCTTACTTGGTTGTCAATTTTACACAGACTTTTCAATAATTACTGAGAAATTTAAAAAATTACATTTTATTCAGAGTTTTATATGTATTCAGTTTTTGGTCAATAAAGAATTTGTTTGAAATTTGTTGAGTATTTTTTCTGCTTTTTAAAGAAATCAATTCGAAATTATAATAAAAATATGTATTATTAATTTAAAGTATAAATCAAATTTATAAAATAAAGTTGTGATCATAACTACATTTAAATAATTTGTGTGATTAAAATTTACTTAGTTTTTACTATATTTTTTTGTAACCAGAAACAAGTATATTTATGTACCTATACGTATATGAGTTAAAAGTTATTACTAGAGTTATTGATCTGAAAAATACACAAAAAATTAAATATGCAAAAATGGCTTAAAAAATCTAAAAAATGAATTAAAAAAATTATCTAAAAATTACTTAGATGTGCGAAAAAAATTAATTTTAAAATAATATTAATTATTAATTATTATTTATTCATTATTAATATTATACAAAACAGGTAAAAATTTGCCTTAAGAAATAAGTTGAACAAATATATTCAAATTTAAGTTAACAATTAATTATATTACTTTATAATTGAGCAATGTAGAAATTTTCCAAAGTTTAGGAAAGAATAGAGTGTATCTATCATAAGATCAAAAAAGAAACAACTCATGAGCTATTTAACAAGACATTATCTCTTCATAGCCAAATATTATATACATTATTATACATATTAAAAGAGGTTAAAATAAGAAAAATAAGTTAAAATAAACAAAATTAACATAATATTTGAAAAAATGACTTTAAAATTGCAATAAAATGCAAAATAAAAATTACACATTCTAAATTGTTATAAAATGAAACAAATTTAGTTTTTAGTTAGAAATGTATAGCACTTAAAGAAAAAAATGCAAAATTCATCAAAATCCTAGCTCTACTCATTACTAGTATATATTGAATATATGTGAAAATGTTTCAATATTGCATGTTTATCGATAAGATGGCTCTTTATCTCAGGTATTATTTTTAGCAAAGAGTCTTTATTTTAGACTTTTGCTAAGTTGCTTTACTATTTTACTTATTGCTAATGATTATACTGTTTATTTTATTGTGTATCTTCTTCTTTTTAAAGTTTAAGCCTTGTCTTATGCGATTATGGATACTACCATTAATTTCTCTTTAACGCCATTGTCTTCATATGGAGATATTATAGAGAGATTATTATATAGATTATATTATATAGAGATACTCGTTGCATTGGTTACCATTCGAATAAGTTTTTCTATATGTTTTCTTAGGTATTTCTTTTTCTTAGAGTTTATTGATACTTCCTTTCATTATGTTGGCTATGAAGAGGTAATGTCTTGTTGAATAGCTCATGAGTTGTTTGTTTCTTGATCTTATGATTGACATACTCTATTCTTTACTAAACTTTGAAGAATTTCTGCATTGCTCAACTTTTCAATCCACATAATACGAAATGGTTTTCTCTGAGTCCATATTTCCATTTCTTAATATATTTTAATTTACCTAGTTAGTCATTATATTTTATTACATTAGTATAGTTTAATTTGGTTGGAGATGTGTTATATCAGCTTAAATTTTTATATTCAACAGTTTACATTTTTTTTATACAATTAATTATAGACAATAAAGCACTTTAATGTACATTAAACTTAAAGCTCTAAAAATAAGAACAAAAATATTATATGAAATTCATATTTAAACTCAGTGGCGTAAATTAAACCCAATTTCTGGCATCTCAATCTATATAATTTCCGAAACACCTATAATCCAACTTTCTAACTAAAATCCTTCCTAATAAACTATATATTTTCCCGTATATTTCTTTAAATAATAAATAAATTTTGAATTATTTATAATTATTTATTTGGTAACCACAGAATTCTGTGGTTACCATAGATAATAATCTAATTATCTATGGCGGTTACACAATTTTAAAATATAGATAGGGATAATAATTTAATTGATGAGGTCCAATACATGTACGAAAATTATAATTTTGTACCTGTTTGTGTGTACAAAAAAGGATAGTTACAAAATTAAAAATAATAGGTATCATATAGGTATACAAATTTTATTTTAATGATTTTCTGGTGGTGCAGAAACATACCTTTGCACCAACATATTTTAGATGTAGTGGTGTAAATGCTACATTTGCACCACTCAGTTTACGCCACTGTTTAAACTTAAATAAATTTGGATTAGTTTAATGTTTTAAAAAATAAAAATATATTTTTTGTTATTTATTTTAGTATAATTTTGTACGGGACTCGGATAAAACATAAAAATATTTATATTCTTTGATATTTTTTTGCAATTAATTGTTATTTTAATTTAAATATATACCTACCATTTCATCTAATTGAAACTATCGAATTGAAATTCGAAACTCAATGAAGATTATTGCTAACTTACTGTAGTGTTAGAATAGATATTTAATAAATGAAAAATAATTGTCTCTGCCAATAATTCTCATAAGTTCGTTATTTTAAAGCTCTACTTAACGGTTTGACGTACACATGTCATTGACACTACGTTAATAGTTAAGTTCACAGAATGTTTTAACTAGAATTCAATATGTTTCCGTGATTGAATACATTTAGATTCGTTGAAGTATTTTATAAATAAAAATGGTGCTTTTTTAGAAATTTTTTTGAAATTAATAATGCATTTTTAATGGTGTTTTTAGCATATTAAATTCACAATTTTATTGATAAAATAATTTTACTTAATTATATTTTAAATATTTTTCTAATTTTTTGATAATTAATTACGATAGAAAATTAAAATTTTATCATTAAAATCTTAACTTTAAAAAGTTACGTTTATTTTTGTTATTTAATTTTTTTAGATAAGTATTTGTATAAACCATTAATTATTAGTGCATTTGAAAACGTAAAATATGAAAAACAATTTAAATTAATTTAATGCTGAACAAATATAACTACAATAATACTAAATAGTTATAAAAAGTGTATAATATTTATAATAAATACCGAATTGATCTTTGAAGAGATTGGCATTAACATTTCTAAAGTGGGTGTATTGTCAAGTATACCTATAATGTCATAATGGTATGCTTAAAGAGCACACAGATTAAGTAAGGAGTAAGTGAAG